GATGTTAAGCGCATGTTGTTGACATGAAAAGAAGATGGTTTAGCAAACGTTGCTACTTGCACTGCATTGGCTTCTCTTTTCAGCCATGGAGGTTGCAGCTTGAAAAAAGTCGTGTTTACAGTGTTGCTCAGCAAAATACATTGTAGCTACATTCTTGAGGTCTAACAAACGTGTTGACTAAATGTCCTTCCTCACATGTTTCAATGGAGATTCTTTTTAAGGTAATTTCAAAACCTAAACTTATTGTAAATCGCTTTGGATAAAAGCGTCAGCTAAATGCAATGTAATGTAATGTAAAAATAGCTTGCATCCATGTTTAGTGGCAATTGTTCTCCTTTTTGCTGGTGCCTAGCAAAGGGCTGCCAACACTCACGCATTGAGCGTGAGAGTCACGCAATTAACCCATATCTCACGCACTCACGACCAGTGTTGGGACTACGTGTTACTGTAACGCAACTACTTTTTTGTGGTAACTAATAGCGTTACTAGTTACCTATTCCCATTAAGTAACGCCGTTATAGTTAGGCCTACTGTGATTTAAATGGGTGCGTTACTGCGTTACATTATGTGATGGAACTGAACCGAATCTCCCTTCAGATGTAACTTACAGGCAAATATATAGGTGTAGTGGTGGTCTAATGGATAGTGAGGTGGGCTGAAGATCGGAAGGTTGTGAATTCAAATCCCGCCAGGAACACCACCCTGTGCCCTTGAGTATGGGACTTAGTCCTTAGTTACTCCAGGGAGAATGTCCCTGTAATTGGTAATTGTAAGTCGCTTTGGATAAAAGCGTCAGCTAAATGTAATGTAATGAATACAGCGATGTCCTCTCACAGCACCATTGAAAAGTGAAAGTAACCAGAGAGGAGTGATGATTGGTTAACGCTGGGTAACATTTCAGGGTAAGCCAATCAGAGACAGAGTTGGGCGGATCTTGCCTTATGGGGAACATACACAGACACACAATGGCAGATGCAAGTATCAGCGAGAGCAGCAGCGCATTTACAACTTGGAGATATAACCACTATTTTCAATTTGTGGGGATAAAGGACGCAAAAAATATTACGGTAAACTGTGTGCAGGACAGAAAGCATTGTCCACATCAAATAACAGCAACGCCAATCTCCTGAAGCACCTAACTAATGTACATGGGGCTATAAAACTAGTCGCCAAAGATCCCACCGTCTCAACCACCGGCAGTGACCCAGATGGAGCAACACCATCTAAACAGCCAAAAAACGATTCTTTCAAATCGCCACATGTCACCCAGAGTCAACTAAATCGATTACCAGGTATGTTAGTTGAGGACATGCTGCCCATCGCAACGGTCGAGTCTGTTGCCTTTCAGAGAACTAGTCAGNGTTGGGACCCCTTGCCCCGNGATCTGTCTGCCTCTCAAAGCAAATGTCAAGCCAGGATTTTATCTCTGTTAAGCAGTCCATCAACTGCTGTAGTGAGTGTTTGACATTTGCTTTGAGAGGCAGACAGATCNCGGGGCAAGGGGTCCCAACTAGACACTACTTACACACAGGGCGACTGTGGCTGTGAGGGAGTGTGGTCGTCTTTCAACCAGAAGGTTGTGGGTTCGATCCCAGGGATCGAACCCACAACCTTCTGGTTGAAAGACGACCACACTCCCTCACAGCCACAGTCGCCCTGTGTGTAAGTAGTGTCTAGTTGGGACCCCTTGCCCCGTTCCAGATGTCTGTGAGTTGTGATTAGCAGATTTAATCTCTAAACGTCTCAGTGGTTAAACGATGTACAGATCTATCTGCCTCTCAAAGCAAATGTCAAACACTCACTACAGCAGTTGATGGACTGCTTAACAGAGATAAAATCCTGGCTGAGCAAAAACGTTCTCAACCTCAACGAGAGCAGGACCGAGGTCATCTTTTTTGGACCCCAACCTCCAGCCTCTCCGGTTGATATTCTGGGCTCTCTCAATAAAAAAATCCTCTCCTCTATCACGAACCTTGGAGTGACCTTCACTAGCACCTTTAAATTCGTCAAGCAGGTCAGCACCGTAGTCAAATCTTGCTTTTTTTTTTTTTTTTTTTTTTTTTAAATAAGACTATTGGCCAAGACCAAGTCGTTTTTTAAAAACTTAGAAAGGGTTATTAATGCCTTCGTAACCTCAAGACTGGATTACTGCAACGCTCTATACGTGGGTATGGACCAGGCCTCAATTAAACGTCTGCAGCTAGTCCAAAACGCAGCAGCACGTCTTCCGACTGGCNATTATTTTGTTAAATAACAACATGGTGATGTTTTGTAAATGATTACATGTCTCTTATTTAGCACAGAGTATGATATCCGTGACATATGGATCTTAACAAAGTTCCGCTGTACATCCAGCGTACTGTATCTGACTTTATTTCACATGAGCTCCAGTGTGGAACCCCACTGCACCCCCTGGTGGATCAATGATCCATTGCAGCTGGCTTCATTATAATTACATTTATCTATCACGGGGGCGGTCTCAAGTCAAGCTGGAGGTTTTCCCTTGAGCGAGGGCAGATCACGTACCAATCACTGCCCTCACGTTACAAACTGTCTGAAATGAATCGCTACATCTGTATTTTAAAGTTAGTTTGGCCATTAAAATGCGTTTTGATGTCATTTGATGCGAGAAATATGAGTTGTTATTTCAGATTATGTGTGCAGTGGATGTACATGATCTTTATGTTGCTAGTTATTACGAAGATTACTTCAGGAAATTGTGTCTATACAACGTTTTCATTGTTACCAAGGTGGTTGCTAGGGACGCTGTTATCGATATTATTTCTGTTATGTTGTGTAACTGTTTAATGGTATTATTGCTACCACCTTCCCCGTCAATGTATAGTGTTGGTCCACAGCGCAAACGTATTAGTTTAACAAAATCCGCATCTAAAATGGTGCCATATGCGTTATTTTCCCCTGTGCAATTCCAGTCTCACATGTTACATCACATCGTCATAAACAAATACCGGAAACAGACCGAAAACACTTTATTCCGAGTGTGCTTGCTTTTCTCTTTGGAGGTCATCACATAACGGCATTATAATACACGGTTCGGCTGCATTAAATGTTACATATCTGCTGTAATTCTCTATTTATAGAGCCTTGATGAGAGGACTTCTAGACAAACATGAGGAACTGCCGACAACACTGAAAACGTGGATCATAAATATATCAGCAATTAAACAACATCTTACATTTATTTTCATACAATACATCTCCTTACAGTATCAACACTAATTCGGGTGACTTTTATATTTGATCCAATTGGTAGATAGGCTGTATTTACACCATAAACGTGCACTCCTGATATAAAGGGACACCTAGTGGTTAAAGCATGTTATTGAATTTCATTATTTTTATTATTAGATATTAATAGGATCCCTATAAAGTATATTCATTACTTGTTATTCTCTACTAATAGTTAATTAAAGACTGTATATAATGACTATTTTGTACATCCCTTTCAAGATTTCAAGATTTTCTAAGGTTTATTGACATATATACACAAACGGTGTAGTTTGCAATGAATGAAAAACTTTGTGTATACCTCCAGCAATGTTAACTATGTTGAAGCACTTATTTTAACTGATATTATACATATGTATTATACTCTTATATAAGATGTATGTAGATAGTATAAGAAATGTGCAGAATATGACAGTTTAATGGTGGAGGTATACACAAATATTGACCATCACATTGTCCACACACAGAAGGCAGATCATTGACTGTACATGCTAAACAGGATTGGGCCCAATACAGAGCCCTGCGGTACTCCAGTTGACAGACATAGCGCACTAGACTTATGGTTCTCAATTTTAACACATTGGGAGCGGGATGAAAGATACGATTTAAATTGGTTGGTGAATTCTATAGAAACATTTAAGTTGAGCATTTTTTGCAACACGATGTTAGGATTAACAGTGTCAACAGCTTTCCGTAAATCAAGGAACACGACACCCACAACCCCACCCCTGTCCATTGATGCCTTAACTTTCACTCTGTTGAGTGATTAGCCCTGAATCCAAATTGCATTGGATGCAGTGGGAAGGAGCTGTTGTTGAGATGATTGATGATCAGTTTTTCAAATACCTTGGATACCATGGGCAAGATACTGATGGGCCCGTAGTTGGATTTCATGAGAGGGTCACCACCTTTGAATAACGGGACCACAACAGCAAGCTTAATCTGACGTTTATTTTCTAGGTTATTCAAAGGAATCATTTGAAATATAAAATATTAGAAATAAGTGAAAAATGTACAACCCAGTTTCTCAAAGTCAGAGTTGATTTCTTAACATTTTATTTTATTTTCAATTCAAAGCCCAAATGTATTCAGTTTGATAAATATAAAACTTGATATGTGAGAGGCTGAAAGCAGACTTTTGCATTAAAAACATTAGATTACTTTAAACTCAGCGATTATTATAATAGTTGGTTATTATTTGCATGTTGGTTGACTATCATTACAGCTCTGCATTTGATGGTTCCGTATTATACTACTTCATTGCAATTTGAGTAAGAAATATTATCATTTTTTAAATAGATATTTGTACTCCATATTAATAGATCCAGATGATAGTGCTACAACAGTGAAGTGCTCAAGGAGTTATTTTTGCATTAATATTAACCTTTGATATAATAATTCAACTAAGACAGGGGCTATTATGCTGCATAAAAACTACTTTAAGTACATTTGTGTTGGTCATTTTCACTTTTACTTAAGTTGAATTTTTAAATGAATGTAAATCCATTATATTATCTCCTTTTACTACTTTCGTGAATGATCTGAATACTTCTACCAGTTTCTACCTTGTTTCTACCTGTTATATTGCAACCTACAATCTGTTATGATAGGCCTACAACATACAGTATGATCTGTACATTTCAACAAAAAAAGGGTGAAGCTCCATGGATCTGAAGAAGGGTATCAGTGATCAAATGATGACGAAAGCAGCTCCTCCTTTTTTTTTTTTTTTAGTAAATCGGTGCCTTCAGGATCCGCTTTTTGAATTGGACGTTTGAAGTAGGAAATTATCTAAATTACAGGAGTCTCTCACCACACCCAGACCTCAGGAATGAGCCTATTGGTTTTTTAGTTTATATGTGTCAGGAGAGGCATCGCCTTCGCCCTCTTCCTAATAGTTTTTTGGACAAATCGGAAGCGTCTCTGATCCAGCCTGCTCCACACCTGCGGTGCACCGAGCCTGCTGTCAGCGACCTGTGCGCCTCAACATGGGGAACCCTTCGGCGATCCTCTCAATGATCGGTAACGTTTTTTGTTTTGTTTTTTAACAAGTAATTTTAACACATTTGTTTGACGCTGATTTGACGTCTGGATTAGGATTGTCAGGCTTCAGGTGTGTGCAGTTAAAGGGATCATTAACGCAGCGTCACACAAAGCTACATTTAAAGGAGGCTAATAAGAAATGACAATGAAGCCCATGATAGTATATAAGAAGCAGCAAAGAAGCACACCTTACTGTTATCAATTGCAGTTTGACGCAATGTTACTTTACTTCAGTGTGTGTTATGCTATAGGCTAGGCAAACTACTTCAGATTCAAATTGTACAAATCCAAACCTCTTTAAAATCCCCACTCAGGCTAGATGTGTTAAAATAAGTCCCATGTAGACACACTGAATCAGTAATATACTACTTTCACATCAATGCATCAGTATTGGTAATCAAGAACATAATAACACTCCTAGGGGACATGTTTTGCCAGCACAACAAGTAACCTGGTATGGCAACCCATTAGAGACTAAATTAAAATAAAAACCTAAATGTAAACAACACAATATCATCAGAATCTCCCACATATGTATGTTTTATTTAAATAAAATATAAAATTGGATTATACTATTTCGTCTTCACATACTCGAATGGGCGGTCTATGACCATATTAAAATAACAATCAACACGTTGTTATTCATTTATTGGATAAGGTTGTATGTAGCCCATTTTTTCAGAAATAAACATTTTAATATTTAAAGGTGCAATGTGTAATTCCTGCCCACATCCGCCAAATAATTAGGGGGCAGCATTTCCACTCTTCTACTGGGTTCATACAAGGTACATTTACAGTTATTAGTTATTTAAAGAGAAAGGAAAAACACCAGGGTAAGAATATGCAAAGTTAGCTTTTGTCAAAGTGAGATTGAAAACTCAATCTGTCAGTCGTGTCATTGAGGTGGCTCTCCAGGTAGGATGTAAACCATACTCTAAGCTGGACATTAAAGGCTACCTAATGTAACCTGCCTCTGAGGAGCAGCGCTGTACAGACATTTCAAAGGAAATATAATAGACCTACCTTTTACACTATATTTTGTAAACTGCAGTTATTAAGAAGATCAAGACCTACGAAACATACTTATGTTAGGGTCCATCCTGCTGTGTAATGAATACTTTTACAATCATTTCAAGTTTTTCTATTGCCATTTATGTGGAATTAAGGAGATATACGTTTTAACTTCTAATGAAAACATATCTGAAAAGTGTGTCCACTTCTCTAAAATGCAGCTAATGTCAATTTGAAAGAATCTCTCAAGGAATAATAATGTCTTCCCCTTTGCATTAAATCTTTAATGAGATAAAGATACTGCAGCAGTTTGAATTTTGCGTAGTGAGTATTCTAGGTTAGATTTAATGAGTAAAATATAGGATTATTTGTTAAATTAGGCAATATGATGAGTTATCACCAAATCGAAGGCCTGTTTCCTGAGTTTTATGTTATTTCAGTATTCAGAAATGGAGTGGAAGTTTTTTTGGAGTACGTTGAACGTCTTTGCCACATACCTGTGATAAAGAGCTGACGCACAAGCTGAGCTCAGAGCCTGAGGGATGTTGGCAATCAAACCGGGAATGGAAGATTTATTATTTGAAATCACAAGCGGTCTGAATAAATCTGTCATATCCTGTCATTTTTGTCCATAACACTTATTACACTGGCTTATATAAACTGATGCGTACCCAGTGGTGGAGGAGTACAGAGATCCTTTGTAAATGCACCAATTCTAAATACTCAATTACAATAACTGCATTTAAAATTCAACTTAGATCATCAAAATGTATTTGAATAATCAGGAAAAATATTCTTTCTGCTGATAAAATGTCCTCTGTGTCCCTCTTTTAAGTTATAGTTAAATTAAAAGTGTTACAAAACAAATCAGAGGGGCCATGAGATCATTTGTCGAAGAGCCATGAAGAACATAAAGAAATACAGTTTGTCACCTTTTTTTCCTTCTTCTTCTAACAACAACATTCTGCTGCATACATTTGTATTCATGCTTTTGCCTTTTTGTAATATATTGAATACTTCATTTGGGCATTGTGCTGATATAAAACATGTATCAAATCAAATCAAATCAAGTTTTATTTATAAAGCACATTTAAAAGCGATTTTTGGTCGAGCCAAAGTGCTGTACATGTAATAAAAACACATTACTACAATCACAATAAAAGACAATAAATTACAACAGCTATATAAAAAACACAGGGAAAAGTCAGCAGTCGTGCTCCGCTCTGACTAGAAGGCCAGGGAGAAGAAGTGAGTCTTAAGAGTAGATTTAAAACCCCCTAGTGTCTGGGCCGACCTCACATGGAGGGGCAGAGTGTTCCAGAGCCTAGGGCCAGCTGCTGCAAAGGCTCGGTGCCCTCGGGTTTTGAGCCTGGTCTTGGGCACTATCAGCAGCAGCTGGTCAGCCGACCTTAAAGCTCTGGCTGGGGTGTAGCGCTGGAGGAGTTCAGCTTTATAGGCAGGAGCCAGCCCATTTAGGGCTTTAAAAACAAATAAAAGGATTTTAAAATCAATTCAGAACCGAATTGGAAGCCAGTGCAGTGAGGCCAGAATTGGGGTGATGTGGTCACGCTTTTTGTGTCCAGTCAGAAGACGTGCAGCTGCGTTCTGGACTAGCTGCAGGCGTTTAATTGAGGCCTGGTCCATACCCATGTATAGAGCGTTGCAGTAATCCAGTCTTGAGGTTACGAAGGCATTAATAACCCTTTCTAAGTTTTTAAAAAACGACTTGGTCTTGGCCAATAGTCTTATTTAAAAAAAAAAAAGCAAGATTTGACTACGGTGCTGACCTGCTTGACGAATTTAAAGGTGCTAGTGAAGGTCACTCCAAGGTTCGTGATAGAGGAGAGGATTTTTTTATTGAGAGAGCCCAGAATATCAACCGGAGAGGTTGGAGGTCCAAAAAAGATGGTGTGATGTTCGCTCAACTACCTGACGAATTGTCTCCTAATGTTTCAGGACCGGACTCGTTTTTGCAGAGTTTGGAGTTGCTCTGGCCGTTCNAAGGACACCAGAAACAACATTGTAGACCTGCACCAGGCTGGGAAGACTGATTGCTCCCACAGTTGATTTCTTCACACCAAGCTGCTTACCTATTGCAGATTCAGTCTTCCCAGCCTGGTGCAGGTCTACAATGTTGTTTCTGGTGTCCTTTGACAGCTCTTTGGTCTTGGCCATAGTGGAGTTTGGAGTGTGACTGTTTGAGGTTGTGGACAGGTGTCTTTTATACTGATAACGAGTTCAAACAGGTGCCATTAATACAGTTAACAAGTGGAGGACAGAGGAGGCTCTTAAAGAAGAAGTTACAGGTCTGTGAGAGCCAGAAATCTTGTTTGTTTGTAGGTGACCAAATACTTATTTTCCACCATAATTTGCAAATAAATTATCTAAAAATACAGACAATATGATTTTCTCTATTATTTTGTCTCTCATAGTTGAGGTATACCTAGGATGAAAACTACAGGCCTCTCTCATCTTTTTAAGTGGGAGAACTTGCACAATTGGTGGCTGACTAAATACTTTTTTGCCCCACTGTACATCAATGATCTGCCTTCTGTGTGTGGGCAATGTGATGTCTGCTGATGATACAGTTGTTTTTACTCATGGCAAAACCGCAGAAGAGGTTGCAACCTAGGAGTACACATTGACACAAACCTCAGTTTCAAAACCCACATCAAAAAGGTCTGCAATAAAGTGAAGTTCAACCTGTCAAATTTCAGATACATTAGACACTTCCTATCAACTGCAGCATCTAAGCTATACCTTCACTCAATGGTTCTCTCCCACATCAACTACTGTCTGATAAGCTGGTCTAATGCACACTCTACAGCTCTAAAACCACTGGAATCATTATATAAACAAGCACTCAAAACACTAGACAAAAAGCCATTCCA